CAGCTCTGGTCCTTCTAGAGAAACAGCAGAGACTCGGGTTACTAGGCCTCTGACCACCGTCACCCATCCCTCTGCCATTAGCAAACAAGCTCCTTGGATGATCTGAATGATGTCAAGAATTGGATGAAAAGGAAGGTAAGGACCCTCCTTAGGAGGTGGTATAGAGGTTTCCAGGCCCACTTTAACCTTTTACATGAGTAGAGAAGGGACACACACTTCCTTCAGATAATTTGTGGCAAAATCAATGACAACGCTTCTGAGTGGCGTCCAGATAGCCTGCTGTGGTGATGGGCCGTTCATTCCCTGGAAACAGGTCCAGCTGCTGCCGCTCTGAGTGGAACAGACTCAGGACTATCTCTGCCAGGCCACCTGCCCCTTCCTGCGCGAAAGAGTAATCCACTGCGGAGGGCAGCTCAGGGTCCTTACCTCCCTTTTCACCCAATTCTTGACATCATTCAGATTATCCGAGGGTTTTGCTGCCCCAGCACCACATCCAGCAGCACTGGATACAGCTTTGCCACCAGACGAGGGAGGACTCAAGTCCTTGCACAAGAGACAGGACCTTGATAAACTACCTTTCACTGTACAGATGGCTGCCTCCTCCTCCCAGGATCTTTGTACTGTTTAACAGAGAGGAGTTGGTGTCACCACATGAGGAACTGGTACAGCAAAACCTGACCCTTAGCATCTAGCCCAGGAAGGATTGTCGATCAGCTGGCTGAGTTATCCTTCTTGGTCTCTAACATTTTCATCACTTGAGGGGTAAAGGAGACCCCCTCTTTCAACCCTCTCCTTCCTTGTTATCAATGGATAACACCTGAGGGTTACAGACCTGCTTTTCAGCAGTGGGACCCAGAGACTAGGGACGCAGGGCAGCTTCCATCTGATTCAGGCAGGGGACACTGAGTCACAGAGATGCGACAGGTTGAGCCTCCCACTGGTCTGAGGCTGTGGGCAACAGGACCTAATGTATGTTCTTAATTCACCGGCCTCTTTGCTTCTACCCTGGCCTGGTCTTTCTAGACACTTGATGGTCACACTGAAGGACACAGACGCCTCATGGGGTAGCCATGAGGAGGTCAGTGTTTTCTGAGTGGGAGAGCTGGATGGTGGTCGGAGCTTCTTTCCCGGTGATGCCTAATAACCTGGTGGACAGCAGCAAGGCTGGCTATGCCCTTACCACATCCTCCTCCCTCTTGCTCTCCTCTCCTCTCTCTCTTCCTCTCCTACCCGCCTTCCTGCAGTGTGCGGAGTGCTACCACCACGCCCCCACCTGCCTGTTCCCTAACCAGGAAGTAAGGTTCAATGGGCAGACGACCTCCCCGAAGTCTCTTTTGCATCTAAACATTGAGGACCAAGTCATCCCACAGAAAGTACACGGGTTCTGTCTGGCCAATTCTCATTCCACTCTTCCTGAAGAGTCAGGGCCCCTATGTCTGCCCTGAGCTGGCCACAATGGCAGCCACAATGCCAGCACTCAGGCCTGCTGGTCGTGCATACAAAGCACCCGGCTGGCCATTATCATTCTGGAGCCGAAATCTGCCCCAGCGTGCATCTCATCGGTCATTCAGCACCCTTAATGACTTGTCAGTCCCTTGCCCTGCCATTTTCTGTCTAATTAATTCTTTTATTGTGCACCGGATAAAGAAAGACAAAGGCCTCCCCAGCAATAAGGATTCATTAAAATGCAGCGCCTTTGCAGTTCTGGGCCCCGTACCAGCCCAGTGCTCCGCCTGCTGTGGGCATGGCTGCCTGCACCCCTTAACCCTTGAGGAGTCCCTGGGGCCTGATGCCCTAGAAGAATCCAGTCATGAGCCAGTCAGGGAACCTTTGAGGCGGGGTCTCCAGAGCGTCTTATGTGTTCCCACGGAGGACTGCTGGTGGAGAAGCCAGGCTGACCAGCCCACGCTCAGGTGGCCCTCAGTTTCTGACCTTAGCTTCACGCAGAAGGGGGAAAGCTGGGGTGGGGCAGGGAGGCTAGAGGAGGGGTGTCTGTCTCACACAGGTGCCAGAGTCCAGGGACAAGGGGCCCTGAGATGTGACTCAGATAGGCAGGAAGGTTCCCATCACACAGGTCAGTATGCTGACCACAGAAGGGCAGGTCTCGAGGAGCCTCCGAGAGGCTCACTGTGCCGTGGGTAGGAGGGAGTCCGAGGCACCAGAGGGGGACCATGGCAATGGGTGAGGCCAAGGCCATGTGGGATCCATGGCAACGTGAAAGACCAAGACAATGGGGGTGACCAAGGCAGTGGGGGGACCATGGACAGGAGGAGAATGGATGATGGGGTTAAACCAAGGAAATGGGAGACTGAGGCAACAGGAAAATTAAGGCAATGGGAGGGACCATGGCGATGGGAGAGGATCACGACAGTAAGGAGGCCCAGGCAGTGGGGTGGACCACACGTGCCGTGAGGGGAACTATGGCTGTGGAGGAGACCATGGCAACAGGGTGACCAAGGCACAGGACCACCCAAGGCCAGTATTTGGATACACACTGCTTGCCACCTTTCCCTTTAATTTTCTGATGTGCAGATGTTCCTTACTGCAGATGAGCAAAGAGAATCCCCATGTGGCTTGAGGTAGTAACTCCATGATATCTATCTAGCATGTGTGAAGTAGGCAGCACCCCTGGGATGCATGCAGATGTACCACCAGGGCACAGGAAGGACAGGCTGGCCATCTGTGTGCCACGTCCAGCTGAGTTCTCTTCCTTCAGAATGGTTCTTTGTCCAAGGGATTGGGGAGTGAGGGCATAGCCTGTGTCCTTGTCTTGGGGCCCATGCTGGCTGAGGGAGGGGTGATGGGAGATTTGGAGACAGCATGGGTTTTGCAGCCTGAGACTCAGGTCCTGGCCCAAGGTGGTTTGCTGTGGAGCCAGCAGATTATGTCCTAGCTAGCCATCCACGGAGGATCCAGGGTACTGTCTCATAACTAAGGACTCAGGCCACAGCAGGCCACACAGCCCTAAAACTGAGCCCCTAGGAGAGGCATGTGGGCAGTGCAGCTGCTTAGAGGACACAGGCCTGTCTCAAGAGTGATCAGCTATGCCAGCCATGAAGTCATCCCAACAGCTCCTGGAGGTTCAAGCTGTCCAGGAAGACCAGAGGGGCTTTTCCAATCTACATCAGTTCCATTTCCCCTTTCTGTCTGAACAGGGCCTTCTGTTCAGCCAAGGTCGGAAGCAGTGCTGTCTGCTCTGGGTGAGGAAATAAAAAATGAGGAACTTTTCTCACCACCCTGTCCCTCCCTGGGATGGGCTTTTGGATGGGCATCCGCAGGGAGAGCTTCAACAGACCCCTGGACTAGGGGCAAGGCAGGCCAAGGCCAGCCTTGGTAATGTTACTAGTCAGGGACTCTCGAGGGATGCTGGGTGCCAGACACTGGATACATCTTCCCCTGTAAAACCTGCACCAACCAGTAGACCAGGGGAGTGACCCAACCTCCGCACATCCATGCCTGGCCACAACCTCAGTGCCTGGCCTGGCATTTGGAGACTCCCAGGACATCTGATCTTGGGCTTAATCGCTGAGGACTGAGGGTGCCGAAGGGACAGCCATCAGTCGGGCAGTCCAGGAGACTGGGGAGGAGTGTCTTGTAAGAAGGGAGGTGCATCACTATGCTCTGCAGAGGCGTGGACTGGCCAGGACTCTGGTACCGTCCTTCTTGAATCTCAGGTGTTGGAAGACCCCTGGGATGTACACTAGGGCCAGGGCTGATCAGCAAGACAGCAGGGCCCAGGCACCTAGGGGTTAATGTTTGTGAGCCTGCCAAGTCCAGACAAACCCTGCAGGGCCACCCAGCCCTTGGGAACCTGGCAAGCCCCAAAGTGAGTCCAGCACAGCAAAGAGGCCTTGCGGCTTTGTCAGTGAGCCGGATGCTTGGAGTTCTCCTTGGTCCAGCTCATCAATGTGAGAGATTTGAGGCCATATGGGCCTGGACAGCCCCTGTCTGGGCACAGGACAGACTGGGCTACTTGCATATAAGCAGCAGGCTGTGAAGGCTGTAGAAGTCTGTGAACCTGGCTTTCACAGTACCTCCCCAGGCTTGGCAGGCCTGGACCTGGAGAACTCTCCTAAATCTAGGCAGCTCTTCCCAAATGCTGCTCTTTGGCAGGGAGTCAGGTGAGGGGTGTGGCAGCCAGGAAGACTGGGGTGGGCTGGATGCCCCCTGCCCAGCCACCCATCGCAGTGCCTCCCTCTTTGGGTTCCCAGAGAAAGCCTAATCCTCCTCCCACCTCCAGGCCCAGAAGAGGATGCGTTGGTGGGCCTGCCTGTCCCAGTGAAGCCTCCACCAGCCACATGCACGGGGAGGCTCGGCAAGGGTTCCGCTGCCCCCACTTGCTGCCACTCCCCACAACCATCCTCTCCCTAGAAACTTTCCTCCCCACAGACAACTCCACCCGGCTCCTGCAGGACGGCTTTTATCCGCTCCCAGGCTGGCCCAGAGCCAGGGCCTGAAAAATGCCGTGGGCCTGCAGCACTGCACAGACACTCAGGGACAGCCCTGACTTGCCTGGGAGGGCAATGGCGTGGACAATCCATCTGCACCCACTTTGCCTAATGAGTACCCCAACCCCCAGAAAGCCGGGATGAAGTGCTGCCCCTGTCCTAGGGGATCTACGTGGTGCTCTCCCAAGCCACACTGCCTTCCTCACGCTAACTGCTCAGAGCAATCAAATCCACAGCAGAGCCTAATCTCAGCCTTGCCAGGAAACTCTGCAAGAGTTACCCAGGCTCGCAGAAAGCAATGCACAAAACGCAGCCCATGTAGATAAAAAGCATTTTCTTTTAATTTTATCAAATCGAACTGTACAAAAGTTAGCACACTGCTTGATCAGAAAGTAGCGAAATGCAGCAGGCAAGTGACAGCAATAGTCTTCCCAAACCGGACACCAAAAAATAGACTGCATAAAAATGAGTTTGCTGCAGCTCCCACCCCCACCCCCAGAAAGAGATACGCAAAATAACAAACAAAAACACGCTTTTTTTTTCCTCTAGAAAAAAGTAAGAAAAATAGAAAAAGTAAAAAGAAGCAACTTCTCAAATGTATTTAAATTTACAAAATTTCAAAGGCACAAAGTTTCCATGAAGTAGGCAATTATATGCTTAGCATACAGCAGAAGCAGGAGGCAAATCACGTATTATTCTCTGAAACTAGGAACCTAAAGACATTTAGTGGAGGTTTAGTTTCACAGCTTGGTAGGTGGTGCCCATCGCCCAAGAGCCAAGATGATGGCGATTCTACCACTTGCAGGAAATTCCTGTCTTCTACCACTTGGCACACTGGTGGCTAGGAACAGGGTCCTGCCTTCTAGGCCCAACCTGGTGCCGGTGCCAGGCAGTCCACTCCCATCAGACACTGCAGGGCAGAGCCTTGTCCTTCCAGCCCTCCCAAAGCCCAGCAATAAAAAACTGAGCACTTGCCACCACTTCCCCTCCTGCCCCTCGAGCAAAGCTTTTCCAGCTTTCTTTCATCTCTCTTAAATCCTACTCTCTGCACAAATTACGTCATTAATTAAAGATAAAATAATAGAGAACATAAATACATCTTTAACCACTTTTAAAACAAACACATTTAAGCTTTAAAAATAAAAATTTAAAAAAAAAACACCAAAAAGAAAAGTGTTTGTCAGAACCAAACCTTGCCGAGAAGAACTCTTGAGTTCAAGGAATACCTTGATCTCCCAGCTGGTTCGAGATGCCCGAGTGGATGCAGCCTGAGGTCCACAGACATGTTGTTGCTGCAGAAACACCATCCCTTGGTCTCAGGGGTGCTTGGCATTGGAGCTGGCTGGCACCTCAAAACATACTCATCTCAGGGACCTCAGGTCCTTTTCTCCTTTGTCCTCTGCACTGAGGCTGTCAATTCTCATCTACTTAGATGCAAAATGGAAGTGCTGGCCTCTGGGAAGGACTGAATGGCCAACCGTTTTGGAATCACCAGTCACTTCAGGCAGAAGAAACAACAGTGTCCATTGGTAAAAGCATGGCGATCTAGAGGCAACAGGACATCCGGTGACAAAAGCCTGGCTTCCCACAGACTTCAGCAGGCACTTGACGCACGGCCACACTGGCTCCCTTGCTAGTACGCACCCTCTGGGAGGCCCTGGAGACCTGGTCATCCTCTGTCGACACTGGCCTCCCACAATGCACAGCGCCTCAGGGCCTGGTCAGGGTGGTGTAGACAGGCTGGTCCCAGGTGCTGCTGGGGCTGTGGGCAGGCGGCATGGACAGCCCATTGAGTAGCGGTGAGGCATAGGGCCGGCGGGAGGAGTGAAAGTAAGGGTACTGGTAGAGGCCAGGTGGGTAGCCGGGGTAGGGGCCATAGTAGTTGGAGGCCTGCAGGTCAGTGTAGTCACACTGTGCACTGGCAAAAGAGCTAGCAGCCCCAGCGGGGGTGGCTGAGGTAACACTGGCCTGGGTACTATAAGAGCCGTAGTCAGAGCGACTGGGTGAGCCATGTGACTGGTCGCTGTAGTGGCTGGGACTCAGCTGCTCCGTCTTGATATGTGGTCTCAGGGATCCTGCCTCAGTGGGTGATGCTGAGGCTGATGGGGTCCCCCTGTGGGCCCACACAGGGGATGCCCCGACGCCAGCTGCCCCAGAGTGGGAGTAGGAGGCACCTCCATAGGTGCCAGTGGCGATGGCCTGGCCGGGCTCTGTGGGCATGGCCGAGTGGCCATTGAGGGGTAGGTACTGGTCGAACTCATGGACATCAAAGGCATCCATGCCACTGATGACCTCGCTGCTGAGCTCGGAGATGTCCACGTTGCTGAAGTCAATGTTCTGGCGCCCATTGTCCACCAGGCGGCGCCCCTCTAGCTTCAGCTCTTGCTTGCCAGCAGTGGTGCCTGGGTGGTGCAGGTCTGTCTTGGGGGTGGTAGGCGGGGTGGGCGGCCCGTGGGTCTGGCCTGAGGATAGAGCACATTGCAGGGATGAATGCCCCTTCTGTGGGGCCGGGTGGGGCTGCAGCTGACGCCAGCAGCCCAGCTAACTGCCACAGGTAGGGATCAACAGCTTTTTGTTTCCTTACACTTCCCAGAAATTCCTGCAAAGTGAGACCCAGACCTCACTCCCTAGACGAGAAAATTCCATTAAGGTCTGTTCTATGAGAAGGCGCTTGGCCCCTCCCTGAAGGCCAAGTTTGGGGAAGGAAGGAAGGCGGTTGGCCCAGACCCCCCAGATCTAGCAAGCATATTAACTGGGTGCTCCTGGGATACACTCAACAAAGTTGAATGAATCCACACAAATCCTGTGTTCCCTGCCATAGCTAAGCACTTGGGCTCACAAGCTCCATCCAGCGTGACCAAGGCTGCCTGGGTGCTGGGATTCCACCCATAAGCCCGATTCTGCAGCTGGCACAGCTCACCCTGTGCCTGGGCGTGTGAATATGGATGAGTCTGGCTGAAAACATCCACCTCAGAGTAGGAATGAGCAAAGCAGTCCTACTCTCTGGCTCCTGTGTACATCCCAAACAGCTGCAGTGGGGGCTTTGAGGGTCTCTTCCAGGTACCCAGGAACATCTGGCTTTCTCGAGGATGCCTACTCTAGAATGAACACCCCCACCCCCCAGCTCAGGCCCTCTGTCCCTTCCCCATGGGTCCTGCCAGACCAAGGGCCCCAGAGCACACCCGTGTGGTCGCCGTGGTGGTGTGTGTCGCTGAGGCCTGTGTCCGCCTTGTACATGGTACCACTGGAGTGGTGGCCCAGCTCAGCCCCCGAGTCTGAGTCACTCTGACCAGTTTTCACACTCTTCCTCCGGCGTGGCTGGTACTTGTAGTCTGGATGGTCCTTCTTGTGCTGGACACGAAGTCGTTCAGCCTCCTCCACGAATGGACGCTTCTCACTCTCACTCAGCAAGCTGCAGGGCACAGCAGGGGTGGGGATAGCCATGGCACCATGGCACAGGACTATGGTCCGGCCAGCACTGGCATGTACACTACCCTGGCAGCTGGCTTGGCAAAGACAGCCAGGACTACAGGCCAGGGCACTGGAGAGGACCAGCACACCCTCCACCAGGAGAAGCTGTGGCACATCACTGGTCCCTCTTGGGCCCCAGGCAATAAACTCTCTCTAAGAGACAGGCAGGTTAGACCCTGCAGGGCCCATTAGAGGAGGTATGTGTTCTGACTGTAGTCAAAGAGCAGACTCAAACTCCCTCTTCCTCCTCTTTTCCTCCTTTGCTCCCCCCCCAAGCCTGTGTGTGTTCTCCCAGTAGGACTTTCTCAGGGAGGTGGGGGAGGTGGGCAGCATCAACGGAGAACTGCAGGCCTGCGGACAAAAGCAAAGCTTCCCGGGAACTGTGCCGATGGACTGTGCTGAAGGACGCGGCTGGGCTTGCTGTCCTCCACTCCCAGGCTCCCAGAGGCAAAAGCACAATCCAGGTGCCTGTCCAAGCCAGTGGGGGGAGGGCTCAGCATTGTGTACGGGTGGAGGGGGTGTCCTATCCAGTCCACAGAGCCCAAGAGCTGTGTGCACAGCCAGGCAGAAGGCAGGAACGATGGACAGGCACACTCTGAGTGACCATTCGCTATTCGAGAAACATGAAGACAGTACAGGGTAGAGGGGCTGCCCAAAACACAAGTTCTGCATGGCTGCTGGCCATTTTCTGCATATGCTGACCTCACTACATAAAAGTGTGCACAAAGCCCCTGCCATATTCTCTTCGCCCACTCCTTCCTTGCGTCGGAGCAGAGATGGCAGGGGAAGGAGAGAAGTTGTGGGGACTGCATCAGCCCAAAGACCTCCTAGACTCCCTCCTCGTGGGTAGTGGGAGTCTCGGGTTCCTTCACTTTCGAAGGACAGGCAGGCTCTAAGTGCGCAGCTGATGTCTACCCCGGTGCTCTGCAGGCTAGTTAGGGCTCAGCCGTGCACAACTGGAGTCCCTCAGCAGGGCGCCCCAGAAAGAGTGCGCTCCAGGATGCAACTCCCGGGTTGCCTTCTACCCAACGGGGTCCCCCGCACCCGGCGCCTGGTCCTGGATGGCTAGAAGGAACGCACTCACCGCCACAGCTTGCCCAGTGTCTTGCTGAGCTCGGCGTTGTGCAGGTGCGGGTACTGGTCGGCCAGTTTACGGCGCGCCGCCTGTGCCCACACCATGAAGGCGTTCATGGGTCGCTTCACATGCGGCTTGGTCTTTAGCGCGCCGCCGCCGCCGCCACGCACGGGCATCGGCACCAGGCTCCAGTCGTAGCCC